ATACATGATTATGGATGAGATTTGATTTTAAGACAAATTAAACTAAGTTTATTACTTATTTTAATTAAAAGGGTACCTCAAACTTCACCTAAAATAACTGTTGCTTCCTATAAAATATTTATAAGAATATATATTAACTCCATAATAGCATAATTACACAATGCTGTATTATTCGAGCATATTTCCAGCCTGTGCTGTTTATGGCAGATAATCACCCTGAGCGTCCCACATGGAGAAAACACACCACCTGTGGCAGGAGACGTAATTGAGCATGACAGTTATTAAATGATGTTAACTGCGACATGAGGCGTCTGATGAGGGGCCAGTCAGATGTGTGTCAGCAGTTGATATGGGATACGACCACCATCTCTCTGAAGGGGAATGTCTGTTAACGTGCGGAGATCTGCTCTGAAAATAAAGCCAGGGTGACGTGCACGCACAAAGGACACGCTTATTATTTATTTATATATCTACTTATTTTTATATTTTCAGATTTTTCTCCAAAACCATGTGAAAGGAAGCTTGCCAGGAATTTGCTCTGCAATTAGCAACAGGGGGCAAGTCCCCTTGAAGTAATAGAGGATTCTTAGATGTTAAAACTGAAATGCAAAAATTGTAATTAATAAATAAATTGGCTATTTGGGAAACCCAGTCCATTGGCAATATGCCGATATGACCGTGGCCAAGGTCTCTACAGATGGCCAATGCATGCAAGGTGATCATATCACATAATCAACATGTCAGTTGCTTCTCCTCACCCCTGGAGGTTAGAAGGGCTGAAATCATATCCCTATTTCCAGAAAAATGGCTGCATTCCCAATGAGTCAAGTTAGCTTATAATCTTAAAGTCAGACTTTTACATTTAGCTTTTTTTATACATTCATTCATCTTCAGTAACTGCTTTATCCTAATCAGGGTCGTGGTGGATCTGGAATCTATCCTGGGAACACTGGATGCGAAGCTGGAAAACACCCCAGTTGGGATGCGAGTCCATTGCAGGGCACCATGCTCACACACATTCACACACAGCAGCGGTTTAGCCTAGCCAGTCTGCCTCCTGGCATGTTATCCAACCAGGAGGAAAACTACACAGACACATGGAGATCATGTGAAACTCCACACAGAGAGTAACCTGAACTGAGGATCAAATCGATGACCCTGGATCTGTTAGGCAACAACTCTATGCGGTATCGCTACACCACTGTTACTTTCTGCACACTTTACTTGTATGCCTTTGACATACATGTGAATAGTGATCTTGTTCAACGAAGAAAAAAAATCAGAGTTAAATCTATTTGTCAAAAACTAATTTTCTGTGATTATGTAATACTTAACGATCCATTGCATCATTTGCATATTCTCTTCCAATTCAAATATGCACTGATGCATTGAATTATTTCATTCTCATATTCTGATGTGGTTAAAGTGAGATAAAAAGTTTTTTGGTCTAAAATTAAAAATTAAGAATTTAACAACTGGCTTGTTTAAAATGCAGATAAGATCATAGAAATTTGCTTTTTCATATATCGAATGTAAAAAAAAATTAATTTTGAAAAATACATGGAAATATCATGTCAAATAATTTAGGAGTACTGGCAAATGTGTTAGATCATGGGCGAAGAAACTCAGATTTGATCAGCAAATCAACTTAGTGGTAAAAAGGTTCTTTTTTTTAAATTAACTTTAAAAAATTTAACAATTTCTAAAATCGAGCCACTAGGAAAGCTGGAAACCTGGAAAACAATATAGCTGCTTTTATCTCATCTCATTTAGAGTATTGATCATATAATTTGCTGTATCTTGGCATCAACAAAGTTTCTCTTGGTTAACTTCTTTTATTTTTTACACATTTTATAAATAAATTACTTACCTTTTAGATACAGTATGTTAGAAAGTAATGGTTACAGAGTACAAATATACTCTACCAGTCACCAGTCAACCTAATTTGTTAAAGGCTTATGGTTGAAATTTGTTTCTAACACAAATAGAAATAGTGACATTTATATTAATTTCATTTAATTTAAGTGCACTGTATGGCCAAAAGTTTGTGGACACCTGACCATCACACCCATATGTGCTTGTTGAACATCCCATTCCAGATTTAGTCCCTCTTTACTATTATAATAACCTCCACTCTTCTGGGAAGGCTTTCCACTAGAGTTTGGAGTGTGGCTGTGGGGGTTTGTGTTCATTCAGCCATAAGAGCATTAGTGAGGTCAGGCACTGATGTTGGGATGTCGAGGAGGTCTGGGGTTCAGTCGGCGTTCCACTTGATCCCAAAGGTCTTCAGTGGGGTTGAGGTCAGAGTTCTCTGCAGTTCACTCAAGTTCCTAGACTCCAACCTTGGCAAACCATGTCTTCATGGAGCTCGCTTTATGTACAGGGGCATTGTCATGCTGGAACAGGTTTGGTCCTCTTAGTTCCAGTGAAGGGAAATTCTAATGCTACAGCATACAAAGACATTCTATACAATTGTGTGCTTCCAACTTTGTGGCAACAGTTTGAAGAAGAACCACATATGGGTGTGATGGTCAGGTATCCACAAATGTTTGGCCATATAGTCTAGTTTTACTTTCAATGTAATTGTTTTCCCAAACAATTAGTTCATTTAGAGCATAGGAGACGTGGTTAGGAGCTTGGACTATTTGGGAATATTAAGAAAAACCTCCTCTTCATGAAGCTCGTTGAGAAGATGCCAAGAGTGTGCAAACCTTCCTTGGCTGAATAAAATAATTTTCTCACTTTTTTTTAAACAGATCAACTGCTGTTTTTGGTTCATCCTTAAATCCGGGATGTTGCTGCTTCTTGTGTCCACCTGCTGTGGCCGCTAAGTCTGCGATTAGCAGTCCAGTCACAGCGCCATAAACTGCGAGTCATTCTCCTTCCTGCGGCAAGCAGGACGGAACCCATTTTCCCCTTTAAGACGCCCCTCGCGAGGCAGCGAGAGCACACTGTGAAGCTCTTCTTATGAGATGCACCACGTTTCATGGCTTTAAGCCCATGATTCATCTCGCCTCACATCCTCAAACTGGGCTCGATGACAACAAAGAGGAGGTGGAAATGGAAATGATATTTTTAGTCTTCTTATGTGCGACACAAGTGGGCTTTCATAATGTTTTTGGAATTTTTGTTATGGTTGAAAAAAGAAAAAAGGCCAAAGCATAAAAAACAACATCGTCTGGTCAGTGCAGATTGATTTTTATTAACAGATATAAACATGAATAAACATTTAAATCTACGTTATGTGACAAGACAATAAAAAAATCTAATAAAAAAATCATGTAATCTTTGAGGTTTGTTAAGCTTTATCTTGGGAGATGTTTATGTAGCAGCTATGGAAGGAGTCTCCAGTATCATAACATTGTAACAGTTAGTTTCACGTCATGGGAGTGTCTTCAGGACAGATGAGTTTGTGCTTTCAGATTGTTCACACACATGCGGTAATTTTTGTCTTATTAACTTGAAGAGACGGAAAAAAAGAAAGGGTGGTGTGAATTATTTTCGTATAACAGCATGGTCCGAAGTGTGTTATTCTTTACATTAAAAATTGCACAACACGATTCAAAAGAAAGGTTATGAAGGATTTGCGCTGACAATAGCAATCCTGACATGTTTTTTGTCCGAAATCCAACACATTCTTGCTCAGAATGCCTGGAATTTTGTAGGAAGTCAGGATTGAGTCACGCACTAATACAGATACATTTGAAAAGGTACGTTTTCCTCATTTTTTTGACTTTGTGTCTTTACTGAAACCATATCAATCAACAAAAAAATGCAACCTTTTTCACAGACACTACCATTTTTTTCGGTTGTAGTCTGGATGCTAGAAAACAAAATGTTTGAATACACTGATTGATAGGTATCGACCTACATTCCATAAGGCTCAATTCTGATTGATCAGAAGGTGTCGATTAATTTTCTATAATAACAAGTCTAACAACACTTTTAGCTGCTAGTCAGAATTTCTACCTCTGTGCATTCAAGCTACAAAGCTGGAAAAAAAACACAGATGCCTCTATGTTTGTCTTGATGCTTGTCGCAACAGTCGAACTACCTGTGATGCGTGATCTATATTTATTTATTTACCTCCTCAAAACAGTGATGTTATAGATTTAACAAACGATTATGGCTGTATTTTGATTGATCTAAAGCAAATTCTTGTATATACAGTATAAATCATTTGAAAGTAACTAAGTGCTACCTTGTTTTCTGTTGACGCTGTGAGCAGCCATGTTGATTTGAAGTCACATGATGAACTCTGGGTTCCTGACTTTCTGAGTAGGAATTGTGAGTTGAGGGGGCGTTTTATTTGACACACAGGGACCATGTATGGTGGATGTGTATGGACGCATAATCTTTGATATGGTGAAGTTTTCTCTGAGGACACATTTATTTACACGTTTATTTTTTGGAAGAAGTCTCCAGTGTCAGCACTTTGTAACAGTCAGGAGTAAAGATTCTTTATAATATGACAAGCTACAATCTGCATTTTTTGTCTTATTAACTTCAAGTGAGAAAATCGAGTGAGGGAATAACTGTTTATTGCTGCTTTTATACAATTTCGGAGATTCCACAACGTAAAATGTAACTTCAGGATGTCCTGTTATAGGAAAATAATCAGGTTCTTGGTGGTGATAGTGACTCCATTTCATGATGGGCCACATCACACCACCTTGATATTGATTATTTTCTGATTACAACACATCCTGCACCTGATTGTCATGTGATCCATTTACTATGACCATCCATCCATTTTCTGTACAGCTTATCCTACACAGGGTCATGGGGAGCCTGGAGCCTATCCCAGGGGACTTGGTGCACAAGGCGGGGGACACTCTAGACAGGGCGCCAACTCATCACAGGGCACAATCGCACACACTCCGGACAATTTAGAGATGCCAGTCAGCCTTCAATGCATGTCTTTGGGCTGGAGGAGGAAAGCAGGGTACCTGGAGGAAACCCCAAAATCACAGGGAGAACATGAAAACTCCACGCACACAGGACAGAGGCGGGAATCGAACCCCCAACCCCAGAGATGTTGGGAATTGTGCTAACCACTAAGCCACCCTGCCCAATACATTAAAATTTTCAAGTGTTACAAGAGCTACATAACACAGTCGTTTTCCACTGAACCTTTTTAGATGAAAAAAGTATTTTCAAATGTACTCATATTATAATCTCTCAGCCAATTGCTCCAGACAGTTTTTTTGCAACATCGTTCTCCAATTGATTGTTTCTGGCCTGGGAGGCTGTTGTGGAAAGCAATGAGAACATGCGTTTTGTGTTGGAGACCTCATTTACACATTGGATTATGTGTTTGTTTGTGAGACGCATGCTGCGCTAGGCACACTCGGCTGGATGGATGTTCTGAAAGCCTTTGTTGGCAGTCGTGGTACATTGAACAATGTGCATACACACCCACTAACACACACCTTGTGTGAGGAGGAATGCACAAGTTGCGTCACAGTATTTCTGCTCTTACTTGGGTGGAAGATTTTAGTGGCAAAAACTGACAGTATATGTTTTTAAAAAAAAAAGTGTCATCAGATTTTTGCATTACACACGTTTCATAACCCTCTTTACCCTGCAGATCCGACATTAATAAAAGAGCAAGGGGAACGTCTGAAAGTCAACAAAACATTAAAACAGAATCAGGGAGTGTTTTGATGTGGCTCGGGAGGATTTATTCATGATATCCTCTAGGTGTTTGTATGCTCCTACATTCAGAATTCATTTAGGAGTTATTACTTTGTAGCAAACAAGACAGCGTTATGAAGGAAGAGAAAGAAAACGGGATTGCCCCATGCGTCTTTCTGTCTTGACGTCTCTCCTCGGCTGTCAGTTAGCCCAGAAATCAGGGTGTAAATCCCGTTTAGGGTTTGCTGAACCGAGAAGCTCACTCTCAGATACTTAACGTCTACTTGGAGGAAAAAGGACAGAGGCCAGACCACCCATGACAGCTGTATTAGATAGACTTTTTCTCCAAAGAGACTGGAGAGATCTTTTTTTTTTCCCATTCAGGGCAGGTGCTATATGGACAGAAACATGTCGGGCCCCGTTGCCTCGATAAATTGTTGTTGACGCTGCCCTCAGGAGATGTGCAATCGCGCATTAGTTCTGCAGGTCGCGGCCAAGAGAGCAGAACAGCCGCTTTGTCTCCTATGGAGCAGTTACATTGCCTAGGCAGTCATTTATGAGAGCGCACTTCCTTTCTTTCCCTGTAGATCAGTTTCTTGTAGACTTTGTCAAACTGATGGTCATGGAAAACATGTTCAGATCGTTTCATCGGTGCGCAAACATGCACACTGCCAACTGAGTCCCAACTAAAGCCCTGTTCACACTTGGCATTAAGTGATCTCAAGTGATCTGATCACAAGTGGACAGCCGAAAGCATAGCCGTTTACACTCGCCATTTTGACTACGTCTCCAGTGACCACTTGTGATCAGATTTCACACATCATTTTCATGGAGGAAGGGTGTCGTGCACATTTATTACGTCAGTCTTCCGCTGTGTTTGCTTTCAACCTGAAATGTCCTGAGAATCCACAAATCTCATGATTCGACAAAAGATAAGACAAAGATGAGACAACAAAAGCCGCTACGCTTGAATCCATTAGCCTAGAGGTGGAGAATTCTATCATTCAACATGATTTCCAAACAGTCTCGCAATGATTATGTATTTTTCAGCTAGGGCAATGATGCTGTCGATTAGTTGGCCCTTCCTGACACAACCTTCCCCAATTTTATCCACACTTGGGACCAGCACTGAGAGTACACTCCCAGTGGCAGGGTTATTTTTGGAAACCCTGTATGATTTTTTATATTTTTTTTCAGTAACCACGGTTTATCCAGATACTATCTTGGGAACACTGGGAGCGATGCGGGAGAATTCACCCCGAATGGGAAGCCAGTTCATTGCAGGGCACCATTTACCACACATATTCACATTATTATTTGCACCTAGGGCCTACTGAGCATAGCCAAGCCACCTACTGGCAGTATTTGGAATATAATATTTGGAATAAGTCACATGTTCAACAGGAAGTTGCATCATCCGAATTACCTGAAGAAAAGTAGGTTTTCTCATTCTTTTTTTCTTTATTTTCAGTCATACTGTGAGATTAACGGACAAGATCACGCCCTTGTTACCTAAATTTCTGATTGAAAGGAAATTCTTAGTTTTAAAAAATGGTCTTCTTGATGTTAGCATGGATGCTAGGTTGTTTTGTATTTGGTATGTCCAATTAAAGGTAGAGAGCTAGCTAACATTTGCTAGTTAGTTAACTAAAAGTCTGACCAGATTAACAAAATAAACAAAAGAACACAGAAAGGTTCACATGAAGAAAGCAACTAAGTGCGAGAGTTTTATTCTAGTTAGCTAATAGCACTACATTAGCCACATGTTTATGTATGTAGCTATATGTTTTAACTAGCAAACAGCATATACGCTGTTCTGATTAATCTATAGTGAATAAACAGGTGAAAAAAGATATTCTAACTATCTGAAATACATGTAAAAGATAAAATAATAGACTATTTTACTTTCTTTGAATGTGCTTGTTGTGGAAGTGCTGGCCCTGGAGCCATGACTGACACTGACCTCTAGTCATAGCACTTATTAAATATATAACGCAGTCGTGTGTGTGCTTTGTGTGTGTGATCCATGTGTATTGTTTTATATCGATTCAGCTCTTGCCTGAGGACAATCATAGTTGTGCCCTAAGACAGGCTTCGATGCACTGTATGAAAATAACTTCATTGATGCAGTTCAGCGTGAATGAATAATATCAATACTGTACACACTGTTGTGTGTGTGTGTGTGTGTGTGTGTGTGTGATTCAACATGCACTCCTTCATACACTCCATGATCATTCAAGTCTGATTTTTTCGTCATTGTTTTAATATATATGAGTCATTTCATCTTGATGATCACACAAATTAGGAAATAAAGGCTTGACCTTTAAGTGCCCTTCATTCTTAATGTTGAACTTCTTTCCCAAAAATAGGTATTTGGTTGAACGTCACTAGCGTACTTATCATAGCGAAATTAAATGGCCAACACCGAGCTACTCACTAACTCACATGACTTGGTAGGTATATTTCATGTGGACAGATTTGTATTCCTAATTTAATAGACAATTTGTGCATTTACATTATGCTAGTTATCAAGCTACCACTGTAGATTAAACTAAAGCTATTAAGATCCTTAATTAAACAGAGTGACCTGGATGTTCAGAGGAATCTAACTAGCAATCTATTTTCAACCAGAAGGAAGCAGGAAATACACATTGTTACTAGTGCAATGTTTTTACTGTATTGTATATCTTTGAAAGGAAAGAGTTAGATCAGACTTTCATAGCTGAAATTGGAATAGCAAAGAAAAATGAAAACTTACAGTCTGGCCATCCATGAAGTGAGTTAGATTAACCCCTTAGGACAGAAACAGTAATATTGGAAACTTGTTTTGATCACATTTTCATGTTGAGAACTCCAGATAATTACACATAAATTGAACTGTTTACACAGTTGAACTCATTCCTACAGTTTAACACCTAAAGGCAAAAAATATATTACAAAATGTCTACGAAACCAGAGATGCAGAATATTCCTAGAAAATGTTCTTTGTTTTACACAAAGATAGATAGATAGATAGATAGACAGACAGACCAGGCAACATCTTTCAGTCTTCAACTGTCCAGCTGTAGTGAGCCTGCACCTACTGTAGCCTCAGATTCCCATCTGCCTCAAGATTCTACGTGTTCTGACATACTTTTCTGCTCACCTCGGTAGTAAAGAGTGGTTATTGTAGATTTCCTGTCACCTCAAACCAATCTGGCAATTGTCCTCTGACCTCTTGCATCAACAAGCCGTCTCCACCTGCAGAACTGCTGCTAACTGGATGGTTTTTTTTGTTTGTTTTTTGCACTATTCTGTGTAAAGTTTAGTGACTACTGTGCACAAAAAGCTCAGGTGATCAACAGGTTAATACTCAAAGCAGCCCATCTGAGACCAACAACCATGCCACCGGTAAAATGACAATGAGATCACATTTTTCCCCATTCTGATGTCTGATGTAGACATTAGCTGAAGCTCTTGACCTGTAGCTGCATGTCTTTATGGATTGAACTGCTGGCACACGATATGTTAATTGGATAACTGCATGAGTGAGCAGGGGTACAGGCATTCCGATTAAAGTGGCTGTAAGTCTGGGCATTATGGAAGACCTAAATCACAATTAATTAGCTATTATAATGACATATATAATGCACAAGGATGGAGAAGTTGAGATAAAGTAGACTTATGGAAATCCAAACCAACAAAAAAGTCGCATAGCCTTAGAATGAGATGCTACAAAGCATCTATTATGGGAACCAGGGGTGCCAATACTATGTCCAAAGCAACGGATGGGCTGCAGTCGGTAATGCTTTTTATAAATACACATTTCAGTCAGAGAAATATATGTTCTTACATTTTTTTTTGCTCTCTTTATATTATATTTATTCATAATTTCCAGCTCCTACTACACACAGAGACAGTATTATGTAAACCTGATACATTTGCACTGTATTCAGTGTTCATTGTGACTTTAAACACTTGATTTCCTTGGTCGCTTGTGGTTAACAGCATGTAAGAAGCAGCATGTATGTGGTTATATGCTCATAATGATCTTTAAAAACCTTTTCAGCATGGAGGGGAATAAAAACAAAATCCTGCAGAAATAAATCAGCTTAGTGGACAGAATTAGAGGCGAAGGCTTTAGAGCCAGGGTGGGATTAAGCAAAATCATGTGCAATAAAGAGCAAGTGATCAAGAGTGACTGGAGAGAGAGAAAGAGAGAATCGGGGTGGGGAAGAGTGCAAATTATATAAGAGAGGGGTTTGGAAAGGGCCAGACGTCAACTAAGATCAAAAAAGGACATGAAGACATAAAAAACTGACATATACTAGTCATTTTCATAGTAAACTCTAAAATATGTTTCTTCCATTATGTAAATTACATATTTAGACACCCTTACAACGGGCTGTACCATTTCTTTACTGTTGGCCAGGCCTCAAGTTTGACTCCCATGTCT